CTACAAAACTCATAACCTATTCATCAGAGCCCATTGTAGTGTATGCATGTTGAACGTCTTTTGTACCATACGTAACCAACGGTGCTAATCAGAGGTGCGGGGGTAAAGACAACAAACTAAAGATAAAAAATCTAGATGATTTAAAAGTGCATAGCTTCAGTGGCTTCCGAATATAAGAAGGGAAAGCGTTCCAGACGGCCATAGAAGCGCATGTTAACAGGTGTAATCATCTTGATTTGAAGCTTTCGTGACTGCAGGAATTCATAACCTTTGGTTCTTTCAGTAAAGTCACGTAGGTATAAATAAAATAAATCACGACGTTTCGGGCGCAACACAAGCGTCCGTCATCAGGTGGCAAAGCCTTTCCATCTGATGATTTATTTAAATTTTTACCTACGTGAGTGTAATAGTACAGATTCTTGCAGATGTGTATTAGAAATTACATGAATCCAGGGAAATTAGTGGTTAAAACATAGCAAGTGGAAGGAATTATTAATGAGCATATTGCTGAAATCTTCAAACCTGCCATTAATTCCTCTTTAAAGTTGATGTCGTACTTTGGTAATATTTTACATTTGATGTGTGGATTTAAAAGTGCACAGCCTCCCTCCACCTGCTTTATGTCACCGTGGACTGAGAGGTCTCTCGTGCATTCACGTTCCTACGATATGGCGGTCCTGCGGGTCACACACGCGACTGGCATGGGCTACACAATGCACCCATCAGCTGGAGGTCACGATATTACACTCAATCATGTTCATTGCATAACCACATTTTATCCCCTTATAAGCGACATTGTCATGTCCAACTAATTTCGAATTTAGTAGTTTCTGATATATATTTTTAAATGCATACATGTTCTTAAAACTGCAAACAGATAAATACTAAATTTGAAAGAAAAACACATTCTAGCCGGGGAATATTGTATGAAAAAATAAATGTGAGTGGACTAATTCTTTATATTCTTAATATTCTTAGCTCTTTCGGTAAAGTCACGTTAAAGGGAAACAAAAGAATAAAATATATATAAAACAATAAAAGCAATAAAAATTCTCACGACGTTTCGACCATAACACAAACGGTCGTCATCAGGTGTGTCGGTCCGCATTAATGTATTTATTTTTAAACGGTTTATTTATTTATAAAAAACGTCATCACCACGCGCAGTGATTTGGCAGTTTATTTAGAAGGACTAGTCCATCTATGTTCTGAAAAGAGGAGGGGGGAGACGAAAAATTAATGTATGCTGTCTGAAAGCCACTGTAAGCATGAACAATCAATTAAGACCTGAAATGGTTAATCAAATCTTTCCAATGATTGCTAAGCCAGAATCCATATTCTCGGTTGAAATTGTCTCTATGCTTGTATATGTGGATAGCCTCATGAACGAATCTCTCATGGTAGCCAGATGGCTTACAAAGAACCTCTGTCTTGGAAAAGTCAATGTCATGTGAGCCTATTGAATTATAACAATGATCTGCCACGGCCGAGGTGTTGGTCCTACCATGTTTAAGGTCTGCTTTGTGTTCACGAATGCGGTCCGAGACATGGCGTTTGGTTTCTCCAGTGTAACTACTACCACAGAGGCAACTTAGTTTGTAGACACCAGGGTACTGTATGTCCGGAATCACATCTTTTACAGACGGAACCAGATCACGGATTTTATGTAATGTGTTGAAACGGACCTGGATCTTGTGTTTATTCAAGATTTTGGAGATCTTTTTTGTGATCCCCGCAATGTAGGGTAAAGTGATGGTTTTGAAAGGCTTCTCAAGAGGGTCCTTCTTCATGTTTTGAGTGATAGCTTTGCGGATTGTATAGTCGGAGTAACCATTAGCCTTAAGAGCTTGGTGTACGTGCTTGAGTTCACTGCCTATGTGTTCCTGGTCGGATATGCATTGGGCTCTATGATACAGAGTCTTGATGAGAGAATTCTTCTGTGATGGATGATGGTGGGAATCCGGTTTCAGATAAGCATCCGTATGGGTAGCTTTCCTGTAGACAGAGTGGCTCATTGAACCATCAGGTCTCTTTTTAATTAGGACATCCAAAAAAGGTAGCTTGCCATCTTTTTCGACTTCCATGGTAAATCTGATGGCTGGGTGTATGGAATTGATGTGGTCGAAGAATTGGTCTAGAGCAGGCCGGCCATGTGGCCAGATGACAAAAGTGTCATCTACGTACCTCTTCCATAAAGTTGGGCGCAGAGTGGCAGTCTGGATGGCGTCAGTCTCAAATTTCTCCATGAAAATGTTAGCTATAACCGGAGATAGGGGGGAGCCCATTGGGGTGCCCTCTGTTTGTAGAAAGTTCCATTCCAAGTGAAGTATGTATTGGTTAAACAGTGTCTCACCAGGGGGGGGTACCTCAGTGTTTAGTCCTTGATGAACCAAGTCTTCAATGATTGCGATGGTGTCAGGTACAGGAACCTTGGTGAATAAGGAAACTAAATCAAAACTGACAAGCAGGTCGTCTGGGGACAGGGAAATATACTTGATTGTCGATACCAGGTGAGTAGAATTTTGTACCGCAGAGGTGTTTTTTCCAGTGAAAGGACGCAGGATTTCAGACAAAAAACGAGCCAGTTTGTAGGTGGGGGAGTTGATAGTAGAGACGATGGGACGAAGGGGTGTATCTACTTTATGTATTTTTGGTAAGCCGTATAATCTTGGTGGCCTAGCAGCAGAAGGTTTAAACGAAAACTGTTTAGATTGATCAATTAATGCGGTTGAATCAGAAATTATTTTGTTGGTTTGTGTGACGAGGCTGTTGGTGGGATCTCTTTTTATTTTTGTATAACTACCATCGTCCCAATCCGATGTGGACATTGTTGCCGTCAATGATAAGTGTGATTTGTAGAGTGTCTTGTCTAACTGATCTAGTTCGGTGCGTATAACTTTTTCTGAGATAAGAGCTAAGCTAGTTTTGAAAAGAATTCGTTTCGCATTAGAAGAAGAATTACTCGACGATGGTAGTTATACAAAAATAAAAAGAGATCCCACCAACAGCCTCGTCACACAAACCAACAAAATAATTTCTGATTCAACCGCATTAATTGATCAATCATACAGTTTTCGTTTAAACCTTCTGCTGCTAGGCCACCAAGATTATACGGCTTACCAAAAATACATAAAGTAGATACACCCCTTCGTCCCATCGTCTCTACTATCAACTCCCCCACCTACAAACTGGCTCGTTTTTTGTCTGAAATCCTGCGTCCTTTCACTGGAAAAACCACCTCTGCGGTACAAAATTCTACTCACCTGGTATCGACAATCAAGTATATTTCCCTGTCCCCAGACGACCTGCTTGTCAGTTTTGATGTAGTTTCCTTATTCACCAAGGTTCCTGTACCTGACACCATCGCATTCATTGAAGACTTGGTTCATCAAGGACTCAACACTGAGGTACCCCCCCTGGTGAGACACTGTTTAACCAATATATACTTCACTTGGAATGGAACTTTCTACAAACAAACTGAGGGCACCCCAATAGGCTCCCCCCTATCTCCGGTTATAGCTAACATTTTCATGGAGAAATTTGAGACTGACGCCATCCAGACTGCCACTCTGCACCCAACCTTATGGAAGAGGTACGTGGATGACACTTTTGTCATCTGGCCACATGGCCGGCCTGCTCTAGACCAATTCTTCGACCACATCAATTCCATACACCCAGCCATCAGATTTACCATGGAAGTCGAAAAAGATGGCAAGCTACCTTTTTTGGATGTCCTAATTAAAAAGAGACCTGATGGTTCAATGAGCCACTCTGTCTACAGGAAAGCTACCCATACGGATGCTTATCTGAAACCGGATTCCCACCATCATCCATCACAGAAGAATTCTCTCATCAAGACTCTGCACCATAGAGCCCAATGCATATCCGACCAGGAACACATAGGCAGTGAACTCAAGCACGTACACCAAGCTCTTAAGGCTAATGGTTACTCCGACTATACAATCCGCAAAGCTATCACTCAAAACATGAAGAAGGACCCTCTTGAGAAGCCTTTCAAAACCATCACTTTACCCTACATTGCGGGGATCACAAAAAAGATCTCCAAAATCTTGAATAAACACAAGATCCAGGTCCGTTTCAACACATTACATAAAATCCGTGATCTGGTTCCGTCTGTAAAAGATGTGATTCCGGACATACAGTACCCTGGTGTCTACAAACTAAGTTGCCTCTGTGGTAGTAGTTACATTGGAGAAACCAAACACCATGTCTCGGACCGCATTCGTGAACACAAAGCAGACCTTAAACATGGTAGGACCAACACCTCGGCCGTGGCAGATCATTGTTATAATTCAGTAGGCTCACATGACATTGACTTTTCCAAGACAGAGGTTCTTTGTAAGCCATCTGGCTACCATGAGAGATTCGTTCATGAGGCTATCCACATATACAAGCATAGAGACAATTTCAACCGAGAAGATGGATTCTGGCTTAGCAATCATTGGAAAGATTTGATTAACCATTTCAGGTCTTAATTGATTGTTCATGCTTACAGTGGCTTTAAGACAGCATACATTAATTTTTCGTCTCCCCCCTCCTCTTTTCAGAACATAGATGGACTAGTCCTTCTAAATAAACTGCCAAATCGCTGCGCGTGGTGCTGACGTTTTTTATAAATAAATACACCGTTTAAAAATAAATAAATTTATGCAAACCGACACACCTGATGATGACCGTTTGTGTTATGGTCGAAACGTCGTGAGAATTTTTATTGCTTTTATTGTTTTATATATATTTTATTATTTTATTGTTTCCCTTTAACGTGACTTTACCGAAAGAGCTAAGAATATAAATTTCTGCAGTCACGAAAGCTTTAAATCAAAATTTAATTCTCCTTTACGAACAGAACCAGGGTCAAGTTAATTATGAGCAGGTCCACATGTCCACAAACGTTCCTGACAAACTCTTCACAGTAAAACGTAAAGTATTTATGGTCACGTTTTCCAATGTTTGGCCACCGGTGTGTGTGTGTGATGTAGGCCCGGCATTCTGGGGCCTGGTAAACTCTGCATGGAGCCTGTGCTCCGTAGGTAAGAAGCAGTCACCCGTCAACATCGAGACCAGTCGGATGATCTTCGACCCCTTTCTGCTGCCTCTGCGTGTCAACACTGGCGGAAGAATGGTGAGCATTGTCTTGTCCGCATTGTCTTGTCTACATTGTCTGAGCAACACGATGCAATGTATAGTGTGTTACACATTACAGGTCTATGAAGAACATTCATCAATAACACTGTGGCCTTAAAAGGGAAAAAGGTGACGTTTCAGTCTATGCCCCTTCATAGTGTAGTGAGTCACTTCGGAGACACTTTTTAGAAGACATTTATTCTACACTACATAACACCGTTACACATGGGATTATAATGCACCTAACTCTTCCACTCGTTACACACGGGACTATAACACGCCTATCTCTTGCGCACACAGGGTAACTATAACCGGATCAGAACAGCCAACGTGCTGTGTGACCCATGACTTCGGAGACGAAGATGTAGCACTTGGGTTCCACTTCACCTGCAGACAGCCCCGATATTCGATCGGGGCCTCCCTTTTATCCCTCTCGGCGCGGCATGGCTCCACCCTCGGCCGCGCCTCCCTCTGGAACATTCCCGAAGGTTCCAGACAACCTTGCATCTCCCACCTGCCCGGCTCCGCCCTTAACCACGCCCCCTTCGGGAACTCTATAGACGATTACTGGCTACACTTCCCGTGTTCCCCCGTCACCTTTCCCCCACATTCCTCACCTCCAGCCCATCACGTGCTTCACCCAATGCCGGGGTGACTCGTCCTTATATGCCCTCTTCCGCCAGCAGCCCGCACCACGCTCCCCAGTGACCAATTTATGTGGCAATTACTCGCTGCGCTGGCGGGGTGGCTACAATCCCCTACTGTCAGTAGGACTCATTTGCATCTCTCTGCGAGCACCCGGTACTGTGCCCCTAGTGACCCGCTGTATGGTACTGCACGGTGTGCTAGCCTCTGCACCCATATTTCCTTGTTCTACAGCACTTAGCGCGACGCGCCATAGTGATCCATTTAACATCACTATAATAGCATACAGAGAGGATAAGAGTTATTGCAGATAAAACAAAACTTTCTAAAAAGTCTACATCATTAGACCTCCTTTGCCAGTACCAAAATGTAATAATAGGGTTTTTCCCCTTTTTTCTGGCAACAAAACTGAAACCTTTTTTACAAGGATTCATGTCTGCATTAACCACAATACCTGCAGTCAAAATACAAACAAAAACATACTATGATAATATATGCATTGTCCTTGAAACTGATTGGTCCACACCAAGGGACGGCTTTCTTTTGAGCCTCGACCCAATTGTTGCTCAACCAGATGACGCCAGAAGGCGCACAGCTCAAAGACAATGCATTATCAAAGTAATGAGGGCTCGGGGTGAGCATCTACATCATTAGACCTCCTTTGCCAGTACCAAAATGTAATAATAGGGTTTTTCATCTGGTCGAGCACCAATTGGGTCGAGGCTCAAAAGAAAGCCATCCCTTGGTGTGGACCAATCAGTTTCAAGGACAATGCACATATTATCATAGTATGTTTTTTGTTTGTATTTTGACTGCAAGTATTGCGGTTAATGCAGACATGAATCCTTGTAAAAAAAGGTTTCAGTTTTGTTGCCAGAAAAAAGGGGAAAACCCAATTATTTCATTTTGGTACTGGCAAGGGAGGTCTAATGATGTGGATGCTCACCCCGAGCCCTCATTACTTTGATAGTGCATTGTCTTTGAGCTGTACACTTTTTGGCGTCATCTGGCCGAGCACCAATTGGGTCGAGGCTCAAAAGAAAGCCGTCCCTTGGTGTGGACCAATCAGTTTCAAGGACAATGCATATATTATCATAGTATGTTTTTGTTTGTATTTTTACTGCAGGTATTGTGGTTAATGCAGACATGAATCCTCGTAAAAAGGTTTAATTTTTGTTGCCAGAAAAAAAGGGGAAAACCCCTATTATTACATTCTAAAAAGTGTGTTATTAGCATATGTAAAGTTACATATGATTTACATACTAGTTCATTATGCATGTCTTCGCCAGGAAACAGTTTTCAATATATATAATGAACCTGATATTATTTTTTACAATTTGTATATGATCTAACACTAACAACTACTCCAAAAATTTGTTTTTCCTCAACACAAAAATTGACAACTTGATTCAACTTCTTATCTTTAAAGACGTACCCACCGGAAACCGCTCAATGTAAGATTCCCTTTTATTGGAAAGAACAAAAGTCATGAACTTAATAGTTCATGAAAAGTCCTATCTTTTACCGTTATCGAATTATTTCGATTTGAATGTCATAAAATATGCATTATTTTGTTAAATGACACTCATAAAGATAAAACTTGATTTTAGAGGCCGACCGAAACTGAATTTATGGTTTCGGCCAAAACCGAAAGTTAACTTTTTGGCTTCGGCCGAAACAGAAACTATGCTAAAAGAGGCCATTTACCAACTTTCGGCGCCGAAATCGAATTTCGGTCGGCCTCTAATTGTCAGACTTCGAATCTCGGTATCAACACGTTTGTAGACTGAAGCGAACGCAACACATAAGCCAAGGCGGGCAGGCGGCTGGGAACAGACAACAGAGGTACTTTGTTGTCATCCTGCCAAAGAGACTCCATGCACGGATGGAGATGCAGGCTGCCGTCTGTTGACTGGTCCTATATACATTAGCAGACCATAGTTGCGGCTGTAACCTCAATCCCAAGCTGCTGCTGCTGACATGTGTGTGTTTGCAGTCTATTGCATTGGATTGCCTAGCACTGACTGACCAGCCGATAGGCAGAGTGATAGACGTAGCACTAGCGTTATATTCTAAAAATAGATCTTCGGTTGACAAATGACGACCGAAAGTCAATATCATTTTCGGCCTGAACCGAAACCAGACCGAAAGTAAAAAATTGACTTTCAGCCAAAACCGAAAGTAAACCGAAAGTTACAAATTTACTTTCGGTCAAAACTGAAAGTATGCCGAAAGAGGCCATTTGCCAACTTTCGGCACCGAAACCGAATTCCGGTCAGCCTCTACTTGATTTGGAGCTTTTGTGACTGCAGGAATTACTCTTTGGTTCTTTTGGTAAAGTCGTGTAGAAAGAGAAAATAATAAAATTAAAAAATAGCATACAATGTTTCGATTGCAACACAAGCAATCATCATCAGGTACAAATGAAAGAGAAAACAAACCTAGTAAAGGAATAGGTTTTACCCTTTTAGCTGGCACAAAAAAACTGACACCTTTATTCAAGGCATCATGTTTGCAATAACCACAACACAAGCAGTCAAAATGCAAACAAAAAAAGGACAACTCTGGTAATAATATGCACTGTCCTTGAATTTGATTGGTCCACACCCGAGACGGCTTTTCTTAGAGCCGTCTCGGGTGTGGACCAATCAAATTCAAGGACAGTGCATATTATTATCAGAGTTGTCCTTTTTTTGTTTGCATTTTGACTGCTTGTGTTGTGGTTATTGCAAACATGATGCCTTGAATAAAGGTGTGAGTTTTTTTTGTGCCAGCTAAAAGGGTAAAACCTATTCCTATATCTTGTTACTGGCAAAGGAGGTCTCAAAATGTAAACCTAGTAAACTTCGAAATATAATGCAAACAACACAGAGTCGGCTAACATAAGTCAACACCCTACCTGGTTCATTACGTTCTTCCAAAGATTGCTAAATGTGAGAGAGAGACAAAACACAGACATGGAGACACATAGACACATAAGCAGAGCAATAACACAGAGACACACAGAGAGAGACACACAAATAGGCACGCAGAGAAACAACGCCTCTGTTTCGAGGCCTTAAATAGAGAGAGGGGGGCAGAGAGAGATGGGGGGGGGTAGAGAAATTAGGCGTCCTCTGGTCTAACACCGTTTGAGACGAGGCTCAAAAGAAAGCTGTCTCTGGTGTGGACCATGCAGTTTCAAGGGCAATGCATATATTATCAGTGTTTTTTGTTTGCATTCTGACCACAAGTATTATGGTTAATGCAGACATTCAGTTTTCTTGCCAGAAAAAAGGGGAAAACCCTATTCTTAAAAAATCATAATTTACATATTTTCTAACTGGCATTAGTGGCACATGAATTTAACTTTCAAGTGGTTAGGATTATGATTATTGCAGTGAGATTAGCTTAGGCAATGTCTTTAATGGCCAACTTATACAGACGGCATCTGAGGAAGAGGTGGCTCATGGGACAACCTGCATATGTTTATTAACTGCAACGTCATTCGTAGGGCCACCCATTAGGAGTACTGTACAGTTATTTGAATACTTTTTTTCTTCTTCATATTTAAGACCTCGTGTAGAGCAGGAGATTTTATACGGCTGTATTGAGAATGAGGACCGTGGAATTATCAATCTCTGGGCACTCGAGCGCGAGAGTGAGAGCGGTATGGTAATCCTGGAGCCTCGGGGCGATACATTTGTGTATAGTAATTGAAAAAGTGTCTGAGGCAATGTTCTTGACTGTTGTTTTGTATACTGCACAACGGGTCACCAGTAACCACCGTGTCTATAAGTTACATTTTGCCCAAGGGGCGAACCGCTTATTTGTGGTGCTATCCACGAATTCCCAAGGGTGTAGCATTTAAGCATTTGAAGTAGCGGTTAGCGCTGCGCTGCACTACAAACCCGGCGACCAAGGTTCCATTCCCCCTCACGGCTAACACCAGTGACGATTATCTCAACTGGTCCTGGGCCTCCCCTAGGTCGACTCAACCGCAAATGAGTACCTGGTACGATGTCTAAACATTGCCACTAGACACTGGCGGAGCCAGTGGGGGGGGGGGGGGGGTGGCCAGTGCCCCCCCCAATGATCCGATCGAAATCCCTAATTTCCCTAATTTCGATCGGATCATTGGGGTTTATTAGTAATAAATCGGCATTGTGACCCCCACTGCCACGGTGTCGCATATTATTACGTGCCAGGGACTCTGAGATGATAGGACAATAGTCTGAGTCCATAATTGGCAATAAGTAATGGCAAAGCAGTTATAAGTGACTTGCATAATTGTGCGCAGTTGCGTATAGAGTCCACGACTTCCCTGAAGGCAAACACCTTCAGTGAGCACGATGCTGATCACACACAGTTCGA